TGAGGAGGATCTGCTTCACGCTCAGTAAAATTTCACGAAATTTCCTGTTGAAAGCATTCGAAATAAGGAAAGCGACCCATAACGTTTTTCCCATAAGTTTGATCAACTGTTCTGGGGCAGCAAACCTCTTTGGAGATCGCATTATTAGCTCTTTTGTGATTGAAAAACGTTAATCCACCAAATGCTCGACACAGTTGTAATTGATTAACACACTGTATAGGTTGAGTTCTATTCTCGCAGCCAACTCTTTCCGAAACATCATAGACATCCTGAGAAGACTGCAGTCTCTTCTTTAAAACAGATTCTTCACCAACTGAGAAAGTAGCACGGCATATTGAGAATGAACACAAGTATGCATGTTGAGGGGGGGAACCAGAGAAATATAACCAAAATTATATACACAAATTTATATTCCGCTTCCTTTCCTTCTGACAGTCGGAGAGATTAACTCTCCGGTAACTCTGGTAACCGTTAGCAGAGATAGGGGCATGTCCAGACCGCGGAAAAAAGTATGGAACGTGAACTGGTCGGCACTGGTTAGCTGAGCCAAAGACAGCATAAAATCATTGGTAAGTTTCCGTCTTGCAAGCGATCACTATGCAATTAGAGCTACGGAGTTTTGTTAGAGGATACGGAGAAATATCCGTTTGAAACCGGCGATTTTGATTGCATGAACACGTGCTTGGTGGTAGTGGCGTAGTGATTTAGTCGCTATCACCGGCGTGCTTTAGACTCTACGGTCCGAGGTTCGAGCCCCGCCACCGCCACCCGATTTTGGTGGTAGGCAGCTTTGCTGTCATCCGGTTCAATACTACGCCTAACCTATATAGTTCACCACTCCAAGTCCTGAGGCTGAGGTTTCCGGTTACCATCACTGAACAGCAGGTCCTCGTGACTATGGGGATAACCCCGTCTGCAGTTCAACACACTTAGCTGTGTAATAAAAAATTGGACGATCGGTTTACTCTCAAATATGTTGTTTGATCACGTTTACTGCAAAGCAGCAGGGTTGTAATAAGCCACCAACTGAGATTGTGCACTTGTAGAAGTGGTTCATACCAGCACAAAGACTAGTGTATTCCACGGGGATGACAAGCAAATTGATCAAAATACTTTACTAAAGATTTAAAGGTTTAAATGGAAGAATAATGAGAAAATATGATGAGGTATGAAATCTTCAGTTATCCTATAACATTTATGAGAGATTCAGATAAATAGCACTTGCGAAAATCTTCATTTGATTGTCGAGAGAACAGAGAACACAATATCCAAATCAATATAAACGCAAACCCCTCGAAAGAATGTGTACTAATCCTTGGTAGCTCACTGAATTCTATTCTTGGCGACATTCAGTGGCTACTCTCTTCTCGTGTTCGTCCAGCAACACGTTGTTGTGGAATAGCAAGCTCTTTAATGAAATACCACTGAGGAGTCAAGAGGTTTCGTACCACAAATCAATACTCCACAAAATCACTAGAAATTTAACCCGGCTGCATCCCGTAAGAAACACTACCCGTGACAGACCCATCAGCTTCCGATTGGTTTTACCGTCATTTAGAACTCAAATCTGTCGTTGATTTGCTATGTGTTGTTGATCACTGTTTCACTCACCTTAGATTCTGGCATAGTTACTGACAAACACGCAGTGGCAAATATAACATTAGGTTTTGTTCCACTGTGTGACCAAATAACAGTCTGAACGGGTTGACTCCACAACCGTCAATATTACTGCACAATGGCAATGAGAGACCACCTGCCCAAAATACAACCTATTGCTTCTACAGTTTATTACAGAAAGGTTATTTGGAGACAAAAAAAGGTTCGGGAAAAAGTTTCCAGAATTATTTTTCGCTCTGGAACAAATTACCAGATTTAAGAGCTACCGCTATTCAAACCATCGCACGGGGTCGTATGATGGTTCTAGCAGTAGCTTGAAAGCACAGCCAAAAAGGGACCAAATCACAAAGTTGTTCGGATCACAGTCCGTGAAGGCAACAAATTTCAATCATTTTACTTCCTTTTATTGAGTATACGAAAATCCAATTTTTAGGAAGGGGGAAGCGACCAGTCAAAGTGCTGCCATACAACACACAAATGAGGAAAGTGAGGCGATGGTGATGGGATTCGAACGCTCGTCCCGCGGAATGATAGTTGGTGACGTTAACACCAGAAAACAGATGGATAAGTGATTGCACTGTGACAGGCAAGTGTTTGAGGAGTGGAAATTAGGAACGGATCAGCGACAAGAGAAATAACTTTGCTCAGAACGCGGTTCAAAAGTGTATCAACAAAGAGGAGAAGTCGCCCCAGAATGGGCTATAGACTTTCATGATGGGCTTAATTCGGATCTTTCAAAGAGTGGGATTAAGAGAAGGCGTAAACCACTGTTGTGTACGGCACGGATGGAGAATCTATCGGTGCAACTTCATCAGCACGGGGAGATCAGGATACAACAAGGGAGGAAACGTGGAGCCAAGCAGTTTGATGGAAAATAGAAATAGAAGTACACAAGAGCCGAAATGTAGACTGGGACCACAGGTACCGCGTTTGCCGGGTACAGGCAAACAAGAAGGTTTTACGGAATCGAACAGCTATGGTACTCAAATATGAATTGATTGAAGAACATGTGGGCAGTTCATCCGAGTTGAAGATAACAGAAGAAGCAGCACAGAAGATGTTGTTGTTCTCGTCAGACAAAGAACAATTTCCAGGTCGGATCATCGGCAAAAGCATAGAAAGGATTGTAATTTAGGGATAAAAGGTTGTCCATGAAGATGAGATTGCTTTCGAAACGCCTCCATCAACATGAGTCAACATTTAGCAGTAGTAACGAGCCTTAGAAATAGATTCAAGTTTGAAATATTGGTCCGGCAACCGGTTACTCCGAACTCAGTTAAACATCATGAAGAAATCAAGGGAGACTAAATGGAACTCACCATGCTGAATAATGGTGGACGATCAAATTTATGAGTGGTAAATAGGTAGACTACCTGTAGATCTGTGACACCGGATGCCATATTGACGATCGGGAGGAGAGGCGCGTATTGTTCCAAATGATAACTCAGTTGTTTTAGAGTCATTAGTTAGTTGACTATTAGACGAGGGTGAGGGCGAGATGGGATCAAAGGATGCACCTACCTCACTTAGGAAAGACATAAATGCTTTATCGAAGACTAGGAAACGGCATGGGAAATAGATTGGGAGGAAAGACACAGTGGAGAATATGGGCAAGCTTTGCAGCGCAGGTTTGAAGCAGGAATCATGGTATGACACCAAGTTCGGATGACTTGGATGCGACTAGCGAATGCAATGTCAGGCAGATATTTTAAATTATGATCTTGGGATAAATTTGGGATCACAGTGTGATACAGACGAACTCATGCCTTGTATTCACGTCCGAAGTAAAAGGGTCAGGATGAAGAGCTAGAATCGCCCAAGGATTAGGATGCCAGAAGGTAGCTGAAGTCAATCTAGTAAGTAGCAGATGCTGTGAGAAGTAAATGTTGCGATAGCAGATGAAGTGTGGCAGTTTGAAGTGACGGTGTGGTGGTAGGATGAGCCAAGACGGAAAGATTGAGTCGAACTCGAGAAAAGACAGAGACTATAATTTAACGGCCATTTAGTGGTATAGGCATTCTCCTGGGTTGTGTTATAGGTGATCCATTGCGATAGGCTGTTTGTAGCCTACTGTGAACGTTGAAATTATCCAAGGATGACGATCTAAACATTGGGGTGCAATAGGAAAATATTTTCAATACTGAACGAGAAAACGTTCAAACAGAGAACAATTCGAAATGTTTTGGAGGAGAGTTGAAGAATACAAAATCAATGAGTTCAAAATGGGATACGGGGCTTTAGTCACAAGAACTGAAGTTGGTAATCAGAACCATCAACAATAGACACGCAGGTGTTGGTTGGGATAGATTTTTGAATTGTGAAGCAAGGATATACCTGCAGATGTGTAAGATCTCTTGGATAATGTGTTTTGGTAAATACATCAAAAGAAGAATATTCGCATTCATTTTAACCCATAACGTACGATTTGGTGTTTTGTGTTTGTGGTGGGTCAGTTGGGAACACGCAATACAGTCTACAGGATGACACAAATAATGATCCGTCGAGTTGTGTGACAAACCACAAATAGAGGGTGTAGATAGGGAAAATTTTGCCGGCAGGTTTTCCGGGCTACAGACAGAAACCGCTCACAATTAAAATTAACCTCCATATCTTCGTTGAGGCATGTCAGACTAATGCCGTGATCGTCATGTTCCCAAATCTCATCCCACGATCCGGTGAATCTATCATTTTCAAAGTAGAAATTAGTTGTGTATATGGCACATGAGGCGTGAACCGAAAGCACTGGTCAGCTGTTTCGAACCGGTTGGGTCTCATTACCCAACTGGGGATCGAACCCGGGACCTCATTTGTAGAACGCAAGCATGCTACCGACTCGATCACCAGATAGTGGGTCAGAGCATGTTTTATTTTCCATTTACACGATATAGCACTAACCATCTTTGCGAGCTTGTTACAGGCTTTGCAGACATCGCTCATCTTAGCACTAGCCTCCGGAGTTATGACTCGGTTGGAAACATTCACAACTTGATTACTTATTTCATGCGCCGTATTCCGGCTAGCTAACTACTGCGGCTTAGAAAGAGCTCATCAATTCGACGTCCAGATGCAGAGCCTGTAAGGAAAATTCATCTAACCAATCGCAAGATGTGAATCCATTGATTGTATTTATGTATCAATTGGTGAATGCGCTTTTGGAGAGCGGATAGCGTAAATGAACACTGTTGTTTTGCGGCTGGTATTTGGTTATGCAGACAATAACTTTGGCATTAAAAAAGCTCAAAACACTTGTAGGTTTTCTGTCACCAAATTTTTGCAAACCTTTATGATTTTTCATGAAGCCAGCGTATTCTATTTGACGGGTCATATAATAATAATGAAAGCGTATTTCACCGTTTCCGCATAACAGAAAGAGGTTTTCGATTTTATGAAAAGTACTGAGACAAATGTTTCCGGAACACCAGTTCATTAGAACAGCTGCTGTGCCAAAAAATGTGCTCATCAAATATCAAACAGATTTTCTTCAATGTTCTAATAGTGTCACTAGGAGACTCACGTGTTCTTCCTCCAGTTTGATCATCACGAATCAGCGGATTGCGTCGCAGTGTTTCTTGTCCCACTTTGGTCTGCGTGATATCCACGGGACGAAACTGGGTGCCAATTGAATGCGGTATGGAACTGCCCACCGGACGGAATGGATGTGGATAAGACACATTGGTCTGAGGGGAGATCACATTTTGAACGAGGATAACACTTTTGTTCGTGCTATGTTGCATTGGTTCCGGTCTGTTCACTTGAACAATGGGTCTTTGGGGTTCCGCGGTTGGTGTGGTTGTTGGTTTCGGAGGTCGAATCACCAAGGGCGGTTCCGCTTTGCCGGGTTTCGACTCACTACCCGATTCGGTTGTTTTCAGATCTGTTGGCTGGTCAGTCTGTTCGTTAATTTCTATCGGTTCCGTTGGCAATTCTTCTGTCTTTGGAAGTGTAGTAGAATCCTCCGTCTTAACGGTTATGTCAGAGCCAGCTTTACTTTCCGTCACCCGTTCCGCATCCTCTTTCTGGATGCGGGATGAATCTGTTTGCGGTAGTTTCATTTTATCCAGATACGCGGATCAACAATCAAACTACAAAAAGGAGGCACAGGAAACAAGACAGATTTGCGTCATTATATTTGTTTGGCGCAAAATCGATAGCATCAGGAAGAAAAAAATGAGAGCACATAAATCAGAAGACATCTTGCCAGCTGAGAAATGAGGTAGAAAAATCCGAGTCGGTTTTCTAAACGTAGCGGTGACGAATAACAACAACAGATCGATGTCGTCTTCTCCCTCTATCCGTTGGTTATTGAAAGCACAACCATTAACGCGTTAGGGATTGGGTTTATGCTTTAACTTCTTTCCTTCGTGATCTAGTAATGTATATAAAGAGTGCTTCGTCACTCGTTGACGACAGAGCACTGAGCCAGCTTTATCTGCCGATTGACTGTTTTTACAAAAACAAAGCAAGTTTTTTATGAATACCATGATGGTAATGTAAACTATTCGCAAAACTGAAACAGTCAAAATCACAGAAGCGTTGGTCTAGAAACACAGATAGTAGCAGAATGAATCCAACGCGGACAAGTGTTCCCAGTCTGTTTAAAAACAGTAGAATGATGCGGGTCAAACAATTATCATGCTTAGCCCATAAACAGTTCCAGTCCTGGGCTCAGCAGACGAGGTAAACGTCTTATCAGGAGTTAGTCGGTCCAAGAGGCCAGTCACTTTTAGCCCATTTACTTGTCGTGATAAATATCAACACATCCGGGCTACCGAAATTCGTCGATTGGTCATCGTCGATTGGTTAGTTGTCAGATGAGGAACAGTCTTATCGAAACACACACAGACGCCAGAGAGAAATTGAGTCAATGAGTCGATGGGAACAGAAAAACCATGGACGGGGTTTCTTCAATTCACTTCCGACGGCCTGAAGTGGATGTGTATGATCGAACTAAGTGCCATTCCGGTTCTCTCTCGTGCGCGTACTCGTCAAACGAAACGACCAGACAATTTGTCGACCCGCGGGACCGCGTGACAGCTATCGTGTCGACATCAGGCAGTGCATTTATGGCCATATATTTTCTTGATCATATCGTACCGCGACTGTCTGCGCTACATCGGGCTACAACACAACGAGAAACAAATTATATCGCTCTCAGCACCTGAAAAATAAACCAAATTACAGTCCCGGTGTCCAGAGCTCCTAATGGAACACACATACTGACAGACATATCGCGCAGGAATTTAAACAGAATAAACAATTTACAAACAACTCGAGATAATCTTGCTTGCCTAAGATCCTTTTAATCCGTGCCCCGAAACTAGTTCAAACTGGAAGTTTTTTGTACTAAATGTGGGTTAAGTCCCTACGGAAAAGTGGATTTTTGTTTGCAACAATTTATGTGAAACGTTTTATTTTACTTTCTTCTGGTTTCAAACAGTGCGGATTACAATGAGTCGGGATGAAAGCAATCGGGCTACACACAAAGGTCAATAAAACACGCGGAAAACAAAAACTAGATCATGTATTCTAATCAACCCAGTGCTACACATATCTATCCGAAAATGGTGTACGATATGAACTTTTGAAAGTTTTGTAGCATGTTAATAACAATAAAAATCGCATCTGCTCAAAATTATTTGGTATATTTTGTAAATTGTACAAAACAAATGATTGTCTAAAATTCTTAAATTTTTCAGTCAATATAAATTCCTGCGGCACACTGAGACGGTCGTACGATCTAAAAGCAGCCTGGGGATTTTTCCATACATGCAGCTCTTTGTAGCTTCTTCACTCGAGTAGCTGTCAGACCCAGGCCGTTCAGGAAATATTACTATTCCACACTA